AAATTCTTAACAGATAAATGGATTATCCGGTAAGAAAATTGAGTAATTTTTCCCGAACCGTTAAGACATTAATTATAAAATCTCAATTTGTTCACCAACTATTACCCCGATAATCTGATACCAATAAGCCAATTTTACAGCTTGATTAACGATTACGGTTCGATTTTGAACAACCCTAAATGGAATAGGTGAAAATACATAACATTACATCCACTTAAATACAACATTACATCAATTTAAAAACAGTAAATACCCCGATATCGTTTATTCAAATATAACTTGGATAAGTCGTTTATATATTACTTCCTCCGGGCTACTTTAATTGATTTTTTGGCTATTTTTACACATATTAAGGAATTTATCTTTTAGCATTAATTAATAATTAAAATGATCATATTGCGATATTTTCTTGATATGTGTTTATTTTATTATAACAAAGGTAGTGCAGATCTTGTTGGTTATGCAGATACAAGTTATTTATCTGATCTACATAAAGTTCGATCTCAAGCCGGGTACGTGTTTACATGTGGAGGTACTGTCATATCATAGCGCTCCACAAACCAATCTATTGTTGCTACTTCTACAAATCATGATGAGATAATAGCTATTCATGAAACAAGTAGGGAATGCGTATGGTTGAGATCAGTGATTCATTTTATTCAAGGAAAATATGGTTTGGAATGTGATAAAAGATCCACAATTTTATACGAAGACAATGGTGCATGCATATCCCAATTAAATGGAGGATTTATAAAAGCAGATAGAACGAAGCACATTTACCAAAATTATTCTACACACATGATCTTAAGAAAAATGGTGACATCGATATGCAACAAATCCGTTCAATTGGCAATCGAGTAGATTTATTCACTAAATCTTTGCCAACTTCAACTTTTGAGAAGATGGTATACAAGATTGGAATGCGGAGACTCAAATATTTGAAATAAGGTTTTTATCAGGGGGAGTAAAATACGCACTCTACTTTGTTTTCCTTACTAAGATTTTTCCCACAGGGTTTTCCTTATAAAAATTTTAATGAGACAACTAGTTATGCGTATCACTAAATATGTGTACTCTTTTTCCTTCACTATAATTTTTTTCCCACGAGATTTTTCCTACTAAGGTTTTAATGAGGCACATTATCTTTTAATGAACATCCAAGGGAGAGTGTTATAAATATATTATATTATGGATGTTCATTTAGTACTTCGTTGTAAATAAATTTCTTGAAAAGGCTTATTAATATGGGACTCTGCCGTAAATATGATTATCTATTTAGTACTCTATTGAAGAAAAGTCTCTTAAAGAAGTTTATCCTTTCGGTACTCCGTTATGGATAAATATTACCCCCGGTAGATGATTATCTATATCTGGTACAATAAACTTATCATTTCGGTATTCCGTTATGGATAAATATTACCCCGAATAGAAGATTATTTATATCTGGTACAATAGCAACTTGCAGTATCATCTTACACAGTAGCTTGTAGTAGCAGTTTATAGTAGTAGCTTGCAGTATCAGCTTACACAGCAACTTGCAGTAGCAACTTACACAGCAGCTTGCAGTAGCAACTTACACAGCAGCTTCATTTCTTCTATAAATAGAGAAAATTTTAGTTCATTACGTACACCAGTTTGAAATTGAATAATATATCAGTTTCTCTATATTCTGTAAGCACGTAATTTTTGACCCGCACGATTTTTAAAAGTTATTTTTAGTATTCGTAGTATTTTTAGTATCTATTTGACTTTGTAGAATTTCAGTATGCCTTTACTTTTAATTTTTATTTTTTAAAACATAAGTTTAAAAACACAAAAATAGTTTATTCTTATTAACTAAGATTAATTAGTTTATTTTGGTAGTATTTTTATTCAATGAGAAAGAATTAAATTTGGACCAAAACAAATTATTGGTGAAGTCGGACCTGAGCCCACTCTTCCCCTCATCCCATTTACCTTCCTTAACCCACAACCCTTTTATAATACCTAAATTAAACCTAATTTGACTACACTTCAACACCACCCTACACATACGAACCAGACGGAAAAAAACAAAGGGAGGACGACTGCCCCACCCAAGAAAAAGAGAAGACAATCGCACCCCCGATCTCATGATTGATTCGCCCTCAAATTGCTGAATTCTTTTGAACTTGAAAACAGAAATGTTAAGCTAACATTTTTGGGTTTTACTCTTTGGGTTATGAGTGGTTGTGATGATGGTGAAAAATCTTTGTTTCTTTCAGTTATTTGCTCTTTGTAGTCTCCTCTTAGCTGTTGTTGTTTCCCTTCGAGTACCATGTCATGAAACCCAGATGAGAAATCACCATTGAAATTAGCTAATTTCATTGCAAAACCACCTGAGAAATTCGAGGCAAGTTGAGTCAGTAAGGTGTTCCGTCGAGGTGTAGTTCGTGTTTTCGGAAAGTTCCAGTCAAGGTCGTCATTTGGTGTTGTACGCTTGGTTAAGATCCGCCTATTAATCTAATTTGAAAGGAAGTTTTAATTGAAGGTGCATTTCTCTTCACTACTCCTACTTGATTTCTATTTGTATTTCCTTATTTCTAATATCTGTTTTTATTTTAACTACTTCGTCGTGGTCGTTGTGTAAATAATTCATGATTTATACTTGAATGAGTGTAAATGTTTTCACAATTTCGCTTGGAATTCGATTTGTTTAGACTTGAAAGTACTACTGCATTAGATAGCAAATGTTTTCACAATTTCGCTTGAAATTTGATTTGTTTAGACTTGAAAGTACTACTGCATTAGATAAAATGACGATTGTAAATTGATTACAACTTTGGGTGGTAATTGGACCGTAGGTGGTTGGGGGTTAAAATGCACAGAATTCAACCGTGAATATTTATCCGTCATATATGTTGATCTCTTTAGTTTGCGTGAATTAAATCATTTGAAACATGCCGAGGGGGCTTCGGAGAATGTTTGACAAGATAAATAGTTTGGGCCAAAAATAAACATTGTTAAGCCCAATAACATCACAATCATACACTTTATCCACAACAAAAATCCATAGCTTCAGACCTCCGCAAATAATCTTAAACTTAGGAAAAAATAACTCATTAAATATCGTAGTTTACTTTAGGCGCGATTAATAAAATCATCGTAATTATGGGTACGGTTCCCGTGGCATAGTCATGATACGCGTAATCCCCAAGTCGAGTGTGCGTCTTACGCGACTCGACCATCACTTCAAATAATAATTAAAATCAACATGTTGTATATCGCGGATGCGTTTCACGTGACGCGATTCGCAATATGTACAAAACAAGCGAGTGCGCGACATCGCGACTTGTTCAAATAAATTTCATAAACACTAAAAGGCGATTAAATTAATTGAAAGCGGTCAGAAGTTAAAAATGCACAATAGGTTCTAAATAAGTAATACATCATATAACTAGGCCAATTATTACAGTTGAGCGACCGTGCTAAAACCACGGAACCTGGGAATGCCTAACACCTTCTCTCGGGTTAACAGAATTTCTTACCCGATCTTTTGATTTTCGTAGACTTTAAATGGAATCAAACTTCCTCGATTTGGGATTTAAAATAAACCGGTGACTTAGGACACCCTAATAATTATCTCAAGTGGCGACTCTGATTAATTAAATAATTCCATTTTAGTAATGTCACTTTAATTGAAAAAACTCTCTTATCCATTCGAAAAAAAGGAGGTGTGACATATACTTGTCTTTACTTTGAAATATTTATTTTATAACAAAAAGTATTTTCTATGGTCTTTTTACTTTTTAATTTCTCTTTATTTTTTTTGGACCATGTTCTTTCTCTTCAAATAGTGCAAACCTTGGTTCAAATTAAAGGGGTCCGTAAGTTTTGCTATCATAATGTGTTTGGTGAAGGAAAATATAATTTTTGGCCGGAGGAATAAAATCTCCGGCGTCACTTTTAGGCTGGTATAAGGGAAAATACACATGTTATCCCCTAAACTTGTCTTAAAAAATCAGTTACAACTGGGGGTGTTCGTCGGTCGGTTCGGTATTTTCGGTATTCGATTTTTTAAAATGCTATACCAATACCGTACCTAACTAAATTCGGTATGGTACAGTTTTTCTCTTTTCGGTTTCGATTTATTCGGTTCGGTAACTTCGATTTGAATACTAACTAGTGCATAGAGTGACGGTAATATTCTTAATTAAAGTACTCAAAAGTACAAAACTAAAAGTTTGTTGACAAAAGTTTTGTCCAAAACCAATATATACCAACCTAGAGAGAGAAAATTTAGAGAAATGTCTTGTTAGATGCTTAGAGTTAATTGATGAACTTAGAGAATAAAGGAAAGTAAAATTTTAGATTTCTTATACTTATGTTATGATTAATAAAATATGTATTATGTAATATAATATATATTTTGGTACGCATAGATATTTCGGTATTTTATTTTAAAATACCAAATATCATAACTAATACCAATTTTTTTTTTTAATTTAAACAAAATATCATACCGAATACCAAAATATCAAATATCGAATACCAAAATTTTCGGTTTCGATACGGTAATTCGGTATTTATCAAATTATGCACTACCCTAGTTACAACACTCAAATTTTATGGACTATCTTTTACCCTCTTATAAAACCATTTTTTTTTTAATTCCTCGTACTTGAAAAATCAGTAACACACTTAAATTTTATAGACTTATCTTTTACCCTCTTATAAAATCAAGCTCTTATTTATTTACTTTTTTTAATTCCTCATACTTGCCTATTTTGCCAAATAACGATGCTCATATATATTAAATATTTTTAAGGCCTATTATTAAGGTTTGGTTGTAGGCCTCTGTTACTATTGAACCGCCCCGCTAAGCGGCACTTCTTGAATGAAGAGTTTACTATATATCTATCGCATATTTATTCAAAATAACAGATACAACACTATAAAAGTCAAGCTATTCCGGAACCAAACTTTATATTCTATTATAATATATATTTTTTATAACAGAAATTCGCTATAACAATCAAAAATATCCGGAACAAACGAGTCTATTATAGAGAGGTTTGACTGTAGTCACTAATATTATAAATCTTACAAGTGATACAAAGGTCAGAAGGAGAAGGAGCTGGTAATTAGAGTAAAAATGCAATAAAATTAAAAACTTTTATAATATATGAGATTCAAATCGGTCAACGTGGAGTCAAGCATCTCTTAAACGGCGATTTAGAACTCTGCCGTCGACAATACCCACAACCTGGCAATTTTCTGCAATCAAAATTAATTTCACAACGGTCCCAGCAACGTTGAGTATATGTAAGACTATTTGGTAGCAGAATCTTTTCAATAAACTCTACTTCAAAAGGTATGTCTGGCAAAGCCATTGCTGGAGTGTTTGGGGACGAAAAAGAATGAACTGCATTATAACAAGAGTTTAAGTTATATATTGTCGACAGTATAAATAAATATTTATCCTAATTTACAAGGACTAAAAAATGATGAAGTTACTGACCTGTTAGTACCAGAGAAAACAAAACAAGAAAGAGATCTTGTGAGATAGGCACATTTTAGTCATGTTAACAAGAGTTTGGAGTGGGAGCTGATTGTGAGAAGATGATCTAATTAATTGTCTGAGTGGATTTTCTTGATTGATGAAAGGACATATACAACGCCTCTTAAAGTTGTAAAAATATAAAAATATATCTTCCTAAAAACCTTTACTATTCACTGGTAGTAGGGGTGTCAATGGTTCAGACGGATGTCAATAGTTCGGTTCGGCCGGTTATTTTATATAATATGTATCATACCAATTTTTCGGTTATTCTATTATTTATAACCAAAATTAGACTTTTTAAAACCGTCTCAATCATGTAAGTTTCTCTTCGGTATCGATGCAGTTCGGTTAATTTTCGGTAATTTTTTTAAATGTCATATAAAAGACACCAGTAGAAGTACAATGTAAGGACTTAGCAAAACTCTCTAGACATTTTTACAGTTTAAAAGGTGATAAATTAAGAAAATATGAAAGATGACTAGAGTATAGATCCATCAACTATTCTACAACAACGTAAAAGAAACTAAGCAAAAACAAAGAAAATATAAGAGGGTGTTTGGATTGGCTTTTAAGATGGTCAAATCAGCTTTTAAACTCTTTTAAGTTTTTTTAGTGTTTGGCAAAGCTATTAAGTTCTTAAAATAAGTTAAAAACTGCTTAAAATTAGCCAAAAGTAATAAGCTAAGGAACCCCAACTTATGTTTTTTTGGCTTAAAAGCTATTTGTGCTAAAAATTTACTTTTTTAAGCCAATCCAAACGGGCTATAAATCACACGAGTGGAAAGATATTAACCAAGTTGAGATTCAAGAATAAAATCTATAGAAGATTAAATATTCAAAAAGATAAATCTAAATCGTACAAAAGAAACATATTCAATACATTATAGGTTGCTACGCATAATCGCTACAATACCTTATTTCTTGCTAGTGAATATGCTGGAAATAATTTAGTTTCAATAGAAGTAGCATAATAGGTTTGAGAATTAGGATTTTGAGTTTAATTAATTGTTGGCTTATAACTGTTTCATAATTCCAAGGCCCAAGAACAAATTTAATACTTTATTATTTTTTAAACTTAATATATAAATATATTTTTCAGGTTGTAAATTTATTCGGTACGATTCGGTATTTTTCGGTTTATTTTCATAAATTAAAAATTCTACCCTAATTATCGATACGATTATAGATTTATATAAAAACCTATTATTTTTTTAAAAGAAACCTAAAAATCGATTCGGTTCGGTACGGTACGATTCAGGCGATTTAGTCGGTTTTAAATATCAATTGGCACCCCTAACTGCTAATGTCCTTACAATATAGTATCTTTATTTGTTATATAACTTTAAAAGTCAATCTTCTTAGGTGATTCTGTCGGTGGCAAATGGGCGGGTCGGGACAGGCTGGATATAGACGGATCGGAAACGAGTAATGCAAAAAAGATAAATTAGTTGACCCGACCCATATTTAATACAGATAGAAAATTAGTTTTTCGGTAGATAATATGAATATTCATATTATCAATGACTTCTTAAATATGATCAGTTTTGAGAGAATTCTTAGGACACATTTGGCCATAAAAAAAGATTCATTTTTTTGAAAAAATTTCAGTTTTTTTCGAAATCAGTATTTAACCATTAAAATTTCAAATTTTACTTGAAGTTGAATCTCCAGAATTTGAAAAACTCCAAAAAACTATTTTTCAAAATTTTTATTTCAAAGCACTCACAAAAATTCAAAAATAACTCTAAATTGTATTCATGTTGAAAAAAATCATTTTTTCAGAAATTTTATAGTTTTTATGTCCAAACGTCACTTAGTCTCCCAAACTTGAGGAACCCCCAATTTGAGTCATTACAAATATAAAAGTTAAACCCATTTGTTATTCATTTTTTAAGTGAATAATATGAGTCTTATCCATATTTGATCAATTTTTAAAAATTTATTATCCAACATATTTTTTAGTGAATGTAATATCGATAAATAACTATTTTTCTTATCTATTTTGCCACTACTAGCCGTGCTTCCCTGGTAAAACCGCCACTAAAATAAAATATAATCGATCAAAGAAAAACCGCCGTTAAAATAATTTATTTTAGGACTGTCTCTACGCAAGTGCCAAAAGCACTTTCAATTCTCTGACTGTAGGGCATAGACGGTCTTTCACTTGAGCAACTAGTGCATGTTATATTCAACAAAATATTCTGCTAAAATAATATTTTACCAAACAATTAATTCTTAATTATTAAAATGATGATTCATCCATGGCTGCTTTATATATTAGCAGCCGGAGAGAGAATGCACATGGGACACTAGCAATAGATAATATAGTTTTAAGAAAAATAATTTTTATATTTAAGATTTTTTTAAAAACCTATATATGTGTGGGCTTTTATCAAACCAAGAAAATGCACTCATACAATTAGCTCTTCATTCAAATAAACTTGGATGGGGCGGCTAACAACTAGGGCTAGTCGTTTATATATTATTTACTCGGAGCTTTTGGCTATTTTAATATATATTAGGAAATTTATTTTTTAGTATTAATTAACAATTAAAACGATCATATTAAATTTAATTTGTTTATTGAAAATATAACCAATACTCCTATACTTTTTTTCTCCAATGACAATTATGAAAAAAATAATAATTTATTCTTGATATCTGGAAAATCAAATATTATAGACTATAAGAAAAATATCCAAAAAAAATATAGACGATAGCAACCACATAGAAAGCGAAAGTGCACAGTATGGGACACTAGCAGTGGAAACTATAAAATATATATATATTTGTCTAAACAACTTTAAAAGCCTATATATACGTGGCCTTTCATCAATCAAGAAAATCCTCACACAATTTATTAGCTCTTCTTCTCACAAAAATCAGCAACTCAAAACTCTGTTAACATGGCTAAAAAATGCCTATCTCACAAACTCTCTTTCTTTTTTGTTGTTCTCCTTCTGACACTGACTGGTATGCAACTTCAATATCCTTTAATCTCTTTGTAAAATATTAATTATATATCTCTACTTATATTAATTAGTTTGATTTATCATGTTAATGCAGTTGATTCATTTTGGTCCTCAAACACTCAAGTGATGGCTTTGCGAAACTTACCTTTAGAAGTAGAGATGATTAAGCAGATTCTAATCCCAGATATTATCCGCCGAAAGAAAACTTGTCGAGAAAAATGCGTAACAAATGCTGATTGCGTAGCATGGTGTTCGCAATGTCGATTTTCTGGTCCTAAGTCGAAGCATAAGTTATGTTTGGTTTGGAAATAACTAGCTTGAATCTCATATGATAAACGTATTTTTATCTGCTCCTTTTGAGCTTGTGTCATTAGTAAGTGTGTACGATATAGTACAATTGACTATTTACCGTTCCAAATAAATATTTGATGGACATCAACTCCTAAATTAGAAAATAGTCGTAGGTCTTACTATTTGTGATCTACATGATCACATGTATGACTATGTAAAACTAATATTAATGATATGTTCTTTTGTATTTTCTTTACTTTATTTCTCATTGTTGAATTCTATTTGTTTCGCTTATATAGTAATTATTGGTTAATTTTCCATACCTTTATTTCTTGTTGGACGTTGTTACTCAATTCAAAATTTCAAATAGAGCAAACTTTGAAAACACTTAGGGTGTGTTTGGTATGCAATTTTTTCATGTTTGGTTGGCTTAAATGTTTTGGAAAATATTTTCTTTATGAACTCATTTTTTCTCAAATTGGAAGAAAATATTTTTTTTATCAAGAGAACGGAAAACATTTTTTAAACTCATTCTCAATATTCCTAACTCTCTCTCACCCACCCTCCTAACCTCACCCCCTCTCTCCAAATTTTTTTATTTTTGTTTTAAATTTTTTTTTTTTTTGTTACCACCCACCCTAAACCCCCGCAAAAAAAAAATACTTTTTTTTTAATTTTAATTTTTTATNCACAATTTTTTTATTTTTTTTTTGTAATTTTAAATTTCTATTTTTTTGTTATTCTGCACACCCCATCCCCTACTTCCGGGAATTTTTTTTTTTATATATATTTTCAGTTTTAGTTTTTTCATCTTTCAAAATTTTATAAATTTTAAAGTTATGAGTTCGGGTGTTTTTGCGGTTTCGAAAGTTTAGCGGTTTAAAAGTTTTATGAAATTTGTGGGTTCGAAAGGTTGTTGGTTCGAAAGTTTATGACTTCATGTTTATTGTATCTGAATTAATACTATTGAGAAGTTATTTTTCCTTAATTTGCGTACCAAACATCGAAAAATGAATAAGATTACTATTTGTTTTTCACGGAAAATATTTTTTGTTATACCAAACACACCCTTATTCTATGGTTTGATAGAGTAGTTCTTCGGCAGTTTTCCACTCCTTTTATCTCGGAAAAATTAGAAATAGCCAGATTCACAACTGATAATTGAAAAATAGTCACAGTTTTAAAAGTAATCGATATTTAGTCAATGTAAAGATAAAATTTTAACAAAAATACTCTTAAAAATCCGAAAACGTTTCAGTATAATATGCCGGAGTTCGAATTTGTTACATATGAGATCCAGCATAATGTGTTGGATTTCCAACATAATATGCTAGAAGTTTATATGCAGGAGCGTCCATCATATTATGTTGGAACTTTAAATAGTGGCTAGTTTTCAGTGACTTTACAAACATTAACTATTTTTTAATTATCAGTCCTAAAACTGGTTAGCCCGTGGTATTTTCACTTTTATATCTTGTTGGACTTTTTTTCGTTCACTTCAAATAGAGCAAAATTAACCATGTTTCAAACTTCAAAGGGGTCCTCAAACCTGTCTCAAACAGTGACTAAGTTTTGCTATTATAGGGTGTGTTTGGTCAAACGAAAAGACTTTTATATTCAGAAAAATTATGTGAGTAATTGGTATTTTTTGATAAATTCAGAATGGTAATTAAGCTTTTTTTCCAGCATTGGCTATGATCTCCACACGATCATCTCGCCATACACCCACATGCCACATACAATCACTGCTCTCTAACCTTTTCCGGCCATTTTCCCAACACAAATAAAATTTTGAGACTACAAAATATTAATTACTTCCTCCTTCCCAACTTATATAGGAGAATTTGACTTGACAAATTTATGATTTAAATAAATCATAAAAATTTGCATGGATATAAATTGTCTTACTGAGGTAAAACGAAAAGTTAAAGTTACAAAAATATAGATTTTTTTTAGAATTGACTTTAAAAAAAAAAAAAGTATCACATAAATTGAGACACGGGAAATAATAATTAAAAAAAAGGTGTCACATTGATTTGGTTATTACTATAATTCATGGATGATGGATTCCTCATGGTTCGAAATAATATTACAGTTCACCATTATTAATTCTCGACTTCCACAATAAACATGAAATACAAAAACAGAGTCAATTTAAAGTTATTATAGTTTATTGATTCATGTTCTATGCAAAATAGTTGATAAACCTCTTTTAAAACACTCCCTTAACTGGGCAGAAAGATCACCTACAGTAAAAGGAATGGAAAATTAACCAAACTCTATATATGTGAATGAAAATAGAGTTCAATGAGAAATAAAGGAAAGGAAAGGAAATACAAATAATACACTCAACATTAACACATATTTTATATTACTTGTGATGGATCATGAAATATCAGTAGCTAAACCTTAGACTATCTGCCGTAGTGATGTTGGGAATATTAGTGTATGTTTCGATATTATTTTAGTTGCAATTTTACCGCTCTTTAGTTGTATTTTATATATGAATATGTCCAATATTGTTTAATTATGAAGATTATGCTAATTAATTATTTTATATTTAATGAATTAGGACAAATATGGATTGAAATGGCAAAATATGATAAGTAATTGGAGGAGTTGGTGAGCATCAGGTGAAGTTTGGCAATTGAGATATTTGAAAGGATTAAATTTTGTTTGCAAAGACTCCAAAGTAATAGACAAGACTTGAAGAAAATAAAGAAAGAGGAGGAGATTACATGGCCAAAGTCAAAGGAAGCGTGAAAAGCAAGAGTTAGGCACCTTAGTACTATCAAAAATGAAGAAAACTTGAATAGACTCACATAATTGCTTAAATTAAAAATAGTAAACAGATATATGATATATGTATAATTTATATATAGTATGTGTTTTTTAATTAGAAGCGGACACTACTAGAAATTCGAAAAAATCCAACCGAAGCATACCGGCCAACGTTGGTCGATCAACAAAAGCGACCAAAAAACCGTTCAAAGCGGACGGAAACTACCAAAAATATATTTTATATTTTTTTTAAAATAACATACCGATCGAGATGGGTCGGTATATTGGTCAAATATTTGACCGCAATGATCAGACTTGCTTAGTCAAAGCACTTTTTTGATTACCGACCAACATCGGTGGGTAATATGGACCCACAGTTTTAAATTTTAATAATTATATTATTATTTAAAATATTTTAAAAAATTTATAGTTAAATTTACCTACCAAGGTCGGTCGGTTATTACAGGAGAAGATTTTACCGACCAACTTTGGTCGGTAGCTGTAATTTCTGGAATATAACCGACCAACTTCGGTCATTTCATAGGTCAAACATGGTCAAACTTNTATATATAATAGAATAATATTGGTTTACCAATTCATCAATTGATCAATTTTTCGTACGTAGTAATGTATACGATTGATCATCAATTACAATATAATGTATGTGTGTGTGTGAAATGACTCATACACTTAATTATAACTTAGAAAATTAACTTAGATAGATGAATACAAAAGGTAAAACGTCTTGACCGATATTTATTAATCTATGTGATTTGTAATTAGTTATAAAATAAATGAATATATAAGACGAAATGTGAAATTCGAATAAAATAAATGTCTCATATATACCTTGATTTTTTATTATGAGTGATTAATTATATATATGTGTGAATAAAATATATGATTATAATTTATTAAAAATAATTAGTTAATATAATTATTTATAATTATTTATTAGTAAATATATATGTGAATAAAATATATATGCTTATAGTTTATAATTTTTTTAAAGTTTATAATATTTTAAAAAATAATAACACAAAATAATTAATTTAGTTTTTTTTTAAAAAAATAACCGACCGAAGTCGGTCGGTTAACTGTGGCCAAACACAGTTAGCGATCACTTAAGTATACCGACTGACTTTACCGACCGAAGTCGGTCGGTATCTTTTAATTTCATATCTAAATTACGGGTTTCCCCCTCATTTCTCTTTTTCTCCACTCCAATTTTTCTAACACTCGCTCTCTTTTCCCTCACACCCACAGCCCACTTCCCCCACTCCTTCTCTTTTTCCCTCTCACACATCCCATTCCCCACTCCTCCATGCCACCCCAAGTCGCCGTTGGACCCTCCGTTGCCGCTGCTACTGCTAGTGCGCCGCCACTGCCGCCCCTCCTCCTCCACCTCCTAAAAATTCTAGGTTTGAATTAGAACTTATATATTTTTTTTGTATAAATTTAAAGTTTTGTTAATTAGTTATGATTTAGTTAATTAGTATTTAAATTGATTGTTTAACTATGCATTTTATTGAAATCTAGGGTTTAGGTCTTGTTATAATTGAATTGAATTGAATTGATTACATATGGTATAAATTGAATGTTTAAGTTTGTATTGACTTGAATAGTTTAGTTAGGAATTGAATGTTTAACTTTGAATTGAATTGAGTTTTAAGGATTTGTTCTTATGAATTGAACTTTTAGGGTGAATTGAATTTTTAGGGGTAAGTGTTGAACTTTTTGGATAGAGCTTATGTTTTGTGAGGTTAATTGAATTATTTAGGATATTAATTGAATAGGTTAGGGTATGGGTTGAACTTTTAGGATATGAATTGACCTTTTAGGGGTAATGGTTGAACTTTTTGGATATGAATTAAACTTTCAGTAATTAGGTGCCCTTGTGTCAAGTGTGATTGTGTGAAGTTTAAAAAACCGGAGGAAGTTAAGCTTCATCTTTATAGGAAGGGGTTTATAGAGAATTACTTTGTGTGGATTAATCATGGAGAGATCGATGGTAGCCGTGAAATATTTCATAACATGATTGCTGGTGAAAGTAGTAGGTCGGTGGAGAATAAAAATCAAGATTCTAGAATTCATGATATGGTTGCAGATGCTTTTGGGATGCAGTTCGGGGGTGAGCCTAATGTAAATGTTGAACAAACTCCTAATGATGAAAATATTTTTATGAACAGTTAGAGGAAGCTAGTCGTCCATTACATGAAGGAACTCCGCACTTTGAGCTGTCTATTGCGGTTAGATTATTAGGTATCAAATCTGATTGGAATATTTCTCAAGCGGCCATGGACTCTATTACCTTATTAGTGAACTAGTTGACCCAAATATCAACTTACTAGTAATTTCTATAAGGCAGATAGATTGATTTCTAAGTTAGGACTTTTGTCAATGAGAATTGATTGTTGTGAAGATGGTTGCATGTTATATTATAAAGATGATGCAAATTTAGAAAGTTGTAAATTCTGTGA